CGGCCATGCACTAATTATTTTTTCGAGCCTAAATTTTATTTATATTTGTTATTCTGTTCTTGTGATAAATTCATTTTTGTATACTTATAAGTCATTTTCAGGGTCAAATTTAAATTTTCAATTATTTTTGTTTATTCTTCACAAATCAAGTCAAATGAGAAAAAATTACAAAATGTGAAGAAACGGCAACACCTCTGGCAGACAAGTTGCCAAAACGCGGGACCTCAAGAGAGGTCCGCGCCGAGATGGGCCGCAAGCTAATTTTAACTTATCACAAAAAAAGTTACTCAATAAACTTGCTGCTGCCACACGAGATTTTTGCACGGGGGGGGGGGGGGGGAATTGTTGTAAAGTAGTCTTTTAGGGCGGGTGGCAGGTCGTTCCAAGGCTTAAAAACGCGATAGGAAAAACTGTTGAAGGCAAGGTCGGTGCGGGCAGAGGGCTGCTGGTCACTAAAAGTCACTAAAAAGGGCTAGAGTCTTGTTTGTCTCTCTCTTAAGAGAAAGGAGAGTCGAATGTTGAGGAGCAGCGCGGATGACAGGCTGCTGCTGCTTCGGGAGCCCCCTTTTGTCCCTAAATTTATTTCCCCTAATGGATTTTTTCTGTATTTTCCCTAAATTATTTCCCCTAAATTATTATCCCTAAAATCTTTTTTTATTTCCCCTAAATTCCATTTCCCCTAAATTTCATTTCCCCTAAACCATAACAGAAGGCAGGATTCAGGTCTGTTTCCATATGCAAAAATTGTTGGTTGCCAGCTCCATCATTTACAGATAACATATTATATAATATTAAAATAAAAAACACAATTCAAAACTTACATGAAGTTGTAAAGTCCATACTAAAATAAAAATTACAAAGTTTGGGGCTCACTAACTCTTATAAAACTGAAGGAAATATAATCTGTACAAATGCTCAATGGCTTCGTCATTATTGTCTGGCTGACTTTCAAGAAGTTTGCAAATTCAGCAAGTAAAAACGGATAAAGGCTATTTTAGCAATATGGGAAAAGATTGAGGTATTGTACTCGGTATTTGGACTAACAATAAGACTTGACTTGATGGCTATAGAATGACTACAAAATAAATTAAACTTAATATTAATAGAGCATATATTTTGAAAATTATTAAGAATAACATTTTTACATAAAATTTGACGATTTAATCCATCTTTTGGTAACAAATTAAATTAATTTTTAAAATATTTTGGTCAGAATCAGTCAGAATATTGAAACTTGTGTTTTAAGCGTACCTTTCTTCGGTGGTATTCGAAGGAAGACTACATTATATTTTGCTCCGTTTTTCCGGTTTCAGGTAAAAGATATATTTCCAATTTTTTTCAATTTAGGGAAAATAATTGTAGAGACATTGCTATTTAGGGGAAATGCAAGAATAAAGTTTAGGGAAAATAGTTTTAGGGGTTTTGATTTTAGGGGAAATTAAGAAATTGGTTTTAGGGGAAAAAAATTTAGGGACAAAAACGGCGACTCGCTGCTTCCCTGCTTTATCTCTCATCATCAGATGAACTCGTGCGCGGAGCGCACACAAAGCGTCTTGTCCACACACTTGTACTTCACTGTCTAATTGCACTTTTTGCGTCCAAAATTATCTCTCTCGCCCCAATAATTTAAATTATTAAAAATGAGTAATTAATTCTCACTGAAGCTTTCTTGGCCAAACTCGGTTTCCTGGTGTCCCAAGTCAAGAACTGCTTTGATGACAATTATTTACAATTACTCTAATTGCACAATTATTATACGGCACTCTTGCCGATGTGTACACCAGTGTACACCACCACTGCCACACCCTCAGAGCGCTCTCTCAGGGTGAACAACGCCTTTTGCTGCACTCGTCCTCGCATCTGATTGGCTCTTCTCCGAAGGGCGCAATCACTGCAGCGCGTCACTCTCAAAGTTAAGCCTTTCTTTATTAGGTAGACGAAATACATGATCATAAACTACTCGTCCGGCGCCCACGAGTGGCGCCTGGCGCTTATTGCTTAAAGCAGGTTGTTGTGCGGGCGCGCTGGCGGGGGTGGCGCCGTGCGAAAAACACGGACCATTATAGCTTAACGTTTTGCCGGTTTTTGCATGTGAAACCCGTTTAGCGCCACTAATTCAAATTTTAATATTTGAACTTTTCTCATTGACGCGCGTGCCCCGTGGACTCGCGCCGCCGAATTTAATTTTATGCAAATTTAACTCTCATTTAATTCGAAACTCGACGACGACAGGACGGCGCTCGGGACTTGCTATTTATCCTCGAGCCCGCGACGGCCGACAAAACCCCTCGCTGCACACGCTGGCTAAAAAGGGTGAAAGGGAGCAAAAACGCAACCAGGTGCGCCGGTTATTGCCGTTGGCAGCCCGCGCAGCTTGCTCGCTGGAAAAATTTGTTTTTCAACTGAAACTTCTCCTTTTTGCTGATAGTGCAGTTTTTATTTTATTTATTTATTCTCCATTCATGGTACATGCAACGCAAAAAAAGTACACTGTACAAAAAAAAGCGGAATCATGCATCGACGTAAAAAAGTAAAAGCATACAAAAAAATGCCGAAAATACAGGAGTTTTATAACTAAAATTAATTGACAGAATAATTCTGTCTCTTCTGCCCGGTTCCTCCACAACAGAATGGTACGGTCTCTCCTTCTGGGCTTCGGACGACAAGATGGTTACGGTCTCTCCTGCCACCAGGGGTTCCTTTCCTTCCAAGTTAAACGTTCTCCACTCTGCAGTTTTGCTTCTCCATTCAATGGTTGGAACGTAGCCGTGCTCCGCTCAGAGGTCTCTGCTCGAGGGCCAGCCGTGCCACCAAACACACCGCTGTCTGGAATCACAAGTGTAACCAATAATTAGCTCCCGTCCGATTCCTCCGTTTTCATCGACATTCCACATACTTCTTGGCCCTACTGCTGCTTCTCCGCCGTACAATGCACCGAGAATACAAGCTCGACCGGGTGCAAGGGAGTCCACGAAAGCTCGGCTAGTTTCCTCCTCTTGGGAGCTAACTATCACCTCCAGTCAAAGACTAAATTTTACAGGCGAAGTGCCCGCTTTTTATACAAAATCGCGCAGATTTGGTCCGCCTTCTTTGGCCATAAGAAACTGGGTTAAAATTTACTGCACGTGGAAAGGGAGCAAATGTGGTGGTTGATTTCTGAGAAAATTCCTCTCTTTGCGTTTTGATTGGGAGTTTGGTAGGGATTCTTTTGATTTTATTGGTCAGTTCGCTGGCTGGCCAGGTAAAACGCGTGAGAAAGGGTTGTTAGCACGCTGCTATTGTGAACGAGCGCAGCTCGGGGAGGAATTTTTAGTGCCGTGTGCAAAGAGAAATCGCTGCAATCTGGGAGGAAAAATTTAACCCTTTGTCTTTGTGATTTTAATTATTTTTCTCCAATTTTTAGGCAAAATTAGACGGACAAAATCGATTGTTTGAGTTAATTTTGATTTTACTTCGAGCCTTTTCGTGTCTTCCCTGCAATTACTATTTCTAGAACAGAGTTAATTTCGCATGTAATTCCAAATTTTGGCAAATTTTCTGTTTTCTTTTGTTTTGAGCCATAAAAAGATCCGCGCTTAAGGGAGTGCGAGAGACTTGAAATGTGCATCTCGCACTCCCTTAAGCGCGGATCTTTTTATGGCTCATTAATTATTGGGGAGGTGATTTTTTTCTTTTTTCAAGTTTTTTTGTTTTGTTTGCACAATTATTGCAAAAGGCAACTTTGCTTGTTTTTTTTTCTGATTTTACTTCTGAATTTTAATTTGCCAAAATTTTGCTTTCCTTAAATTTGTATTCTCACTCGCTCTTATTTTCTTAGCCCAGTGTCTTAATTTTTACGTTAATTATTTACTCTAATTTTAGTTTTGTCTTTAAAGATAAAAATTGGGCCTTTAAATATTTTCGTCTAGTGAATATTATTTTAACTTCTAATAAGCACATTTTTATTTCGTTGAAAAGGAATGCAGCTCCTGGTTGCTGCGTCCGGGGTTGTTTTTCTCCGAGCTTTGACCGAGAAGAATAAATAATAATATTAGCTGCGTTGTTTGCCTCGCTGTGGCAGTCGCCTCTCGGACGGTCGTCCACCCCTCTTCTCGTTGTCGCTGCTTTCTCAGGCTACCGGTGCTTGACCTGAAGATAAAGGCGCTCGTCGTTTCCCCTATCTGCCTGCTGGTGCTGCTCCCAGGGGGTTGCTCAGCGGCCATGCTGGATGGTCACTCAGTCGAAATAATTAAATTCCTTTCGGCGACAGCCTGGCGGCTACGCACCTAAAGCACGGCGAGCTGCTGGGCTCCTTCTTCGTGCGGGGAAATTTTACTTTCGTGTGCATAACACGCGCTTCAAAAATTCAAAAATAAAATTCCAATTTTATTTGTTCACTCACTCAGATTATGTTCCGGTGCCACGGAGCATCATCACTAAATTTATTTTAATCCATACAAAACAGGACATAATGCTGTAGACCCATTATACACTTTTATTTATTTCAAAAACATAGTTTTTTTAAATGGACGTTTTATTTCAATTTCTAAATTATTTTATACAATTACAAAAAATTTAATATTTTATGGTTTGTTGTTCATTGTGCTGACACCACAACTGATACTAGATCCTACCAACGCCGTATTTATTTACGTGAAAAAACAGATTGAGGGCCGTACTAGGCTGTAATTTACTTGTCTTAGCATCCCTTATTTCATCCAATATCCTATTTTATCAAAAGTGTTCTTAACTTTAATTTCAATCCAAATGCTAACTAATTATTTTATTTTAACTTTTCTCCTAATGAATTTTCTCCTTTAATTTTTTGCTACCGCATATTTGTTATTAAAATCAATGAAAATTTAATCTCCTATAACAACAAAAGAAATGAATTCAAGGATAGCTAGACCTAAAATGTTTCATTAAATTCTAGAAAGCGTTTCATTATACATTTTTCTCCTCACAGTGTAGATTTTTCTGATATGCAACCTTCAATAATTTCTCTGCATTTTTGCCAACAGGTTACACAAAGAGTTCAGGAAACTGGAATGCTGGAGTCAAGTGGCTTTGTCAGTGTCTAGAGCTCCTGGTAATTTAATAGGCGACCCTGAACAAGTCATTGAAGCTTTTTCAACCAACCGCTCCCTTCACACGATTCTCGACGATGGAGAGCTCGCAGAACTGAAAGGAAACTGCATGGCTTGGCTTTATAAAGTGCAGGTTGAACGGACCCTGGAAAATGTGCACCAAGTCATGCAGCCAAACCTGAACACCATTGTAGTAAATGGTGTGTTTTAAAATTGATTTGAATCACCTAATTTCATTGTCATAAAATGGTTTTAAATTTTTGCAGCTATCCAGAGCTATCAAGAAGCAGAAGTGAAACTACACCCATTTTTATCGCACTACATTCGATCACAAGTGTACCCGGCTCGAACAAATGAAACGTGGGGAAGTCTACGGCTGGAAAAAGTGACAACGCCTTGCCTTGATAGTGAGTCAAATTAATGTTGCGTCTTTTTTTTTATAGAAAAGATTTTTCGTTCAAAAGGTACATCCCATTTACACTTTATTATCCCGGCTTATAAAGTGGAAATTTTTAGAAAATGTTTCTTGACAAAATTATTTAGATTTTACTGCCTGGAGAGGACTTTAGACTGGAGTGTGTTTTTTCCCCCAGACAATTCATTTTGACCGAGGATTTTGGACAACATGCGCATTATGAAAAAAAAATCGCTTTTAGAAAAAATTATTCACCTTGATTACGCATTTCTTCAAGTCAGCTATAAAATATATAGCTCACATAATATAGCTTAAAATTAATTTAATATGAAATTAAACATGTGTCGATCTTTATCTTTGTTACAGTTCACTTTGCTCCAAAAATGAAGCCCTTGTTTTACCACCGGGCACAGCAAGTTGTTGATAAACGTAAGTGATATGGGAAATTTTTCAGAAGTTTTTTGATAAGGGAGTTAAAAAAACAACAATCTTGTCCCCCAAGTCTCATATTTTTCACTTTTAATTAAAATTCATTATTTTTAAGATAATTGGAAATGAAAAAAAAAAATTGTTACAGCTCTCCTTACAAAAGCTGGAAACATTAGGTTAAAGCCTAGAAACTCTTGCTCGAATTGGGCTGGTCTGACACCACCCCCACCTGGACTAAAAAACGGATTATGCGCTCTGAACTCTAAGACAAATTGTATTTCATCGCTCATTCGCCGTGGAGTAAGTATTATAAAGATTGTTCTTTTCCCAAATCCTAGACAAAACTAACCTCTGAATCATTTTTGCATCATGAAATAGTTTTAATTGTCTATTTTATTAATTTTCAAATTTGAAGTGGAATTATGATAGTTAGTGGATTCACATTATCTTAAAGATGGAGCAAAAACTAATCTGCCAATTGTAGCAATGGAATCTTAAAATTAATATTATTTTCTGCAGAAAAATGAATTTTGATAGAAATTTCTGTTTTGTAATCTACAGTTTAAGAAAAAAAAAATTAGATTTTTCGGCCAACAACGTTTTCTAATAAAATATAATACCTTATTTGAAAAAAAAACTGTCTTGTATGCATAATAAGTTAAAAAAAAATATATCATAATATTCGATAATATTATTGTTGGTTTCAATAATTGCAATTTTTTTTTAACTCAGTCTGAATTTTTGAAGAACCTGTATTTACGCGTTCATCAAATTAAGCAATGTTGATGTACACAAAACACATGAATGATTTATGTAAATAATTTGGAACTATTATGTTATTATAAATACATTTAGCACTATAGCTGCTATTATTGACTGATAATTAAAACATATTTTCCACTCAACAGTTCTTAACCTCAGCCAGAGAGATTACAGCGAATGTAAAAGAGGGCCCCCTGAAGAGAATGCTAGAGAGGCTGATGATAAACAGGTGTACCTACTCAGAATATGTAGACCGCGAGAGGCAAATGGCAGTGGTTGAGCAGTAAGATTTGTACCTGAAATATACCATTAAAGCCTCATATCGGTAATTCTACTTTTACAGTTCTCCCTGGTTTGCTCATGATGAGTGGGACACGAACGGAATCTGGGAGTATACCTTCTTCCGTTCAGAAACAGTTCTGCAACGGAAGAAGGTGTGCTCCAGATGTCCGTTCGTGGAACATGTGTTAAATGGCCCTCCGCACTTGACCTTGCAAGAGCTGTCCTTCTTGGCATGTCCTGAGGAAGAACATGAAGAGTTTAAGTGTCCATCCGTAAGTTAATATTACTTGCCGTCTTCTTTTTAACAAAATTTTGTATGCAGTGCAAACAAGGCTATCTTAAGTTGAACATCATCAACTTAAACGCTACGATTGTCGTTGACACAACGTTGCCTGGAGTTGCAGACAGACTGATCACTTTAAGAGAGGCAGAACCCAAGTTGCCTCATTTTTTACTGATGGGAGAACGCGTCTTTGCGCTCACAGGAATGGGTGAGTACCTTTTCATTTATCTTGACCAAAGCTTCCTTTCAAACTCCAAATGCCATAACCTTTTTTTATCTGAATAAAATCTCTTATTAGTTGTACTGAGCCAATTAATATGAATCACTACCAGAGGTATTTCCCTCCAAAACCTTTCTGTATTTTATTTTAATTCATTCAAGTCAGCAATGAGCTTTTTTCCCCTCACTTTTAACCTATCTTATACTAATTGTAAGCTCTTATTTCTCAAATGGGGTCTCTGATTGAGCGCTTGAGACACTTATCACACACTATAGCCATTATGTGCTCCATATTCCGTAAATAAGTGCGGCTAAGCTCCATATGATGTATGTGTTCCTTTATAATTAATCATTTAAGAGTTGTTTAAAGAAGAATAAAAAAATTACATGATGTTTAGAGTAAAAAAAAAACTTTTTCATTATCAGGAATTACTGATCTTTTGCTGTTAAAAAAGAAACTGGCTTTTTTCAAAGACAGTCTATGTTTTGGCTGACTCTTACTAAAACAAAATCTGTTCAATTAATTCAATATAAATGACATGACAGCACTTTCATTAAAATGAAAAATTTAAAAATCTAGATTTTTTTATTTATTCAAATCATGCATCTTTTTTCTATTTGCAGTTGTAGACGAGGCCGATGAGGAACTCGATTCAGTGAGATCGAGACACTTGTTTCCGAGAGAAGACGTTTGGAGTCTACTTGAGGCTGTGGACTTTATTGATCCTGAAAATATTGGCATGAGAGACAAGGACTCGGATGATGAGGATGATGACAATGGCGAAGACCAAGAAGACGACAACACAAATTATTCACATAATTTTTTCATCGAATTTACGATGCTTGGTGTCAAAGAACGAATCGACGACAATAACACCACAAAATGGGAAGATAGAAGAGGACCATTTTACGAGAGAGAAGGGTTTATCTACAGGTTACAGTACGCCTATTACTCATGGCTCGATCAAGTGAGTGGGTGGCCGAAAGAAGAAAATAAGAAAGAAGAGGATCGAGAAAAAGAGGAAGATGATGAGGAAGAGGAAGAGGAAGAGGAAGAGGAAGAGGAAGAAGAAGAAGAAGAAAAAACTGAAAATGAGGATGAAGAGAACGAAGAAGAGGAAGTGGATGAAGGCAATGAGGATGAAGACAAGGACAAGAAGAAGGAGAAAACCAACAAGGAAAAGTACACGGAGGACGAAGAGCTCAACATGACCAAGCCCATCTGGACTCGCAACCCGGACGATATTGGCCAGGAAAAATACGGCGAGTTCTACAAGTCTCTGACTAATGACTGGGAAGACCATTTGGCTGTAAAGCACTTCTCCGTTGAAGGTCAGCTTGAGTTCAGAGCTCTGCTCTTCATTCCTCGTCGCGCACCCTTCGATCTGTTTGAGAACAAGAAGCGCAAGAATAACATCAAGCTGTATGTGCGCAGAGTCTTCATCATGGACAACTGTGAGGAGCTCATCCCCGAGTACCTCAACTTTGTCCGAGGTGTGGTTGACAGCGAGGATCTGCCCCTCAACATCTCTCGTGAAATGCTCCAGCAGAACAAGATCCTGAAGGTGAGCTCTAAAAATTTTATTCATTTTTCTAATCAAAAATGTATACTTGATTTTTAATATTTTTATTTTACGCTATACATTTTTAAATTTATTGTTATTTTTTTGAAAGTGTCATTGTTCTTAAACATTTTTGTTGTAATGCAACATTACTAATTTTTCTCCTCTTGACTTCAGGTTATTCGCAAGAACTTGGTCAAGAAGTGTATGGAGCTCTTCGATGAGATTGCTGAGGACAAGGAAAACTTCAAGAAGTTCTACGAGCAGTTCTCAAAGAACCTCAAGCTGGGCATCCACGAGGACTCCACCAACAGGAAGAAGCTGTCTGAGCTTCTCCGCTACAGCACCTCTGCCTCCGGAGACGACCAGTGCTCCTTGAAGGAATATGTTGCCCGCATGAAGGAGAACCAGAAGCACATCTACTACATCACTGGCGAGAACAAGGACCAGGTGTCCAACTCGTCCTTTGTTGAGCGTGTCAAGAAGCGTGGCTTTGAGGTTGTGTACATGACCGAGCCCATTGACGAGTACGTCGTGCAGCAGCTGAAGGAGTTTGAGGGCAAGCAACTTGTCTCCGTCACTAAGGAGGGACTTGAGCTGCCTGAAGACGAGGCCGAGATCAAAAAGCGTGAGGAGGACAAGGCCAAGTTTGAGAACTTGTGCAAGGTCATGAAGGACATTCTGGACAAGAAGGTGGAAAAGGTCGTGGTGTCCAACAGACTGGTCGAGTCTCCTTGCTGCATCGTCACCTCTCAGTACGGCTGGACGGCCAACATGGAGCGCATCATGAAGGCGCAGGCCCTGCGTGACTCTTCAACCATGGGTTACATGGCAGCTAAAAAGCACCTCGAGATCAACCCCGACCATCCAATTGTTGATGCACTGAGACAGAAGGCTGATGACGACAAACATGACAAGGCTGTCAAGGACTTGGTGATGCTGCTCTTCGAAACTGCCCTGCTCAGCTCTGGCTTTGCCCTGGAGGAACCCCAGACCCACGCCTCTCGCATTTACCGCATGATCATGCTTGGTCTCGGCATTGATGAGGACGAAGCTCCTGTTGAGGCTCCCGTTGCTGAGGAGATGCCACCTCTTGAGGGTGATGCTGAGGACGTCTCCCGCATGGAGGAGGTCGACTAAACCTTTTGCTCCGTTCATTTCTCCCATAATTTTTTCTTTCATTCTGCCATTTCGTAAGTAATATAATATGTATTGGACTTCAGTGATTTTGATGACCTCATGGATAAGATAGACTAAACCCTTTGCTGTGCCTTGCTGAAATTTTTGCTTTTAAGTGTATGTTCTTGAAGTGATAAATTGTCCAGTCATTCAGAATGAAGAATGATTGCAACACAACACAAGTATATTGATAAATTTTCATTGTCTACTGTATAAATTAACAGTGTTCATCTCTGTGCATTAATGTTTTCAGTTCATTCCAACGTGTCATATATATTTTTTTTTAAATTTCCATTTCATAATTACTAAGACAATGTGAGTGATTTATATTATGTTTTAAATGATATTGAAGTAATAAATTAATTGAGGTTATCTTTAAATTTAGAAGTTTTTGTTGTTGTTAAATATAAAAATTTAAAAAAAATAAATTGAAAAATTCCAAATTCTATAGAATATCGTCAATTAAAGTTCATCATTGAATAATTTTTATAATATATATACAACCTCAACATATATATTGTCTGATTGGAAAAAAAGGGATTTGATATTCACTTTTTGCGTACAAGTTCTCGCGCGGAAGACTGTGGCCCCTGGCTGACTTCAGCAAAGAGCAACCCTTCACCCCAACAAGACTTTCATTCACACTCGTCTCAGTATATAATAATGCTTTTATTAAACGCGTTTGCGTACAACTGAGAAATCCATTCAAATTACCGCCACCCCGAGTGGGAATCGAACCCGCAATATCCAGGATGGAGGATATATAGGATGAGATAATATAGCGGGAAGATATTCCCAATTCTCCTTTATTTAAATCCATACCGCCAAGTTGTTAATACATAAATATCTGCCGCATGAAATCTGCAGTTTTTGATTGGCTCGTTTCGTCTGATTTCGTTTTTCCCACAATTATTATAACGCCCACCACATCAACTCGTCAAGAGAAGAGAAGAGAGTGTGCTACAGAAAACGTAAACAAAACCACACAAAGTTATTTAATATAATATACATATTTTAGTTTAGTTTAGTTCTACTAAGAAGCTGACTCTTGCCATAACTATCCTGATTTGCGAAGATATTTTTTTTTTTACTTTAAAAATCGTACTTTAACTAAGCTTGAAAAAAATGTCTTTCCAGAAATATGCTACCGGTAAGTTTCATGAAAATACATAAAATGCGCACAAGCAGCGTCCGTTGCTTGTATTTCATATATTGTCTATGTACTGCAGTGTGTACTGTACACACGTCGTGCAGAATAAAATAATAATGTTTTAATAGTACATTCTGCTTTGTTGGCCAAATGTAACATGAAATTAATTTATTTTTGCAGGTCGCTTAAGAAAAAGGTCCTCAACGTCTTTACCCTCTGGAAGTAATGATAACTCTAATTTAACGATAAATCTGGATGAAAGCGATCGTGATTCTGTGATTGAGGTCAGTCCGATGCGGGCAACATCCTCAAAAGAAACGAATGTTATAAGAGCTTGCAGGAGACAAAGCAGCAATGACCCTGTCGTTGTCTATGCCAAAAACGTAGAAGAAAGTGTTAAAATTCCTCACTTCATGGCCCTTCCAGAGATAGAGGAAGACTTCATAAGTCTGAGCACAGTAATAAAGAACAACATTTAAATTAATTTGCTATATCTCTGACTATTTTATACTTTTCAGGGTCCTATAAAAAAAAAGAAGAGAGTTACAAGACAAAGTGTATCTCCTGCTAAGCCAGCTCTAAACAGGTTTTACGAGAGTTTTAAAATAAATGGTTCAAAATAAGCCAAAAAGAAAATCCTTCCTTTTTTAGAAATGTCACTAACACTAAAGCCGCCTTAAAAAAACTACCAGCAAGTCAACATCAAAATCCAATGGCACTAGCAGGCACAATGAATAATACAGCTGGAAGGAAGAGAAAGAAATTAGATGCTTCAATAGAATGCTTGGTATGCCCAGTTTGAGTTCAGTCTTATAAAAAACAAATTTTTTTCATTTTTTTACTGAAGGAATTGGTCAGCAGTAAGGGAAGCAGCATCAATGGCAGTCATATTGCACCGGTTCAGATAACTCCGTATACAAAGAGGTCTAAAACTATTAATTTATAATTTCAAATAACATTGAGTATAAAAAATGTTTTTCAACAGGCCCCCCTTGAAAGCCAAGCGGAGAAACCAGAACTCCGGCCTTCCATCAAAACAAGCTCCAAGAAAAGAACTGCCAAATGCTCCACCTTTAGTTCCTCTAAACACACAACCAGATAATGACGACGATGACTGTATTGTGAGCATTTTCCTTTGACTTAATTTTTTTTTATAAAAATCGTGATTAGGTAATTTGGGACTCTGCTGATGTGCTATGCCTTTCTCACAACATTGCACCAAATGTGGCTAAGAACCTGGTCACTCTTTTTGACAACGAAAACACCATTCCTTTCATTGCTAGATACAGGCGTGGTCTTACCAATAATATGGAAGCTGAGCAACTTCGTTTTGTTAGGGATGCCTACGAGGAACTAAAGTAAGAAAACTGAGGAAACCTTTTAATTAAGGTAGTATCAAGGAAATTAAACCAAATTTTCTGATTTATTGCAGACTTGTTAGAGAGAAGGCTAAGACTGCCATTAACAAAGTATGTGCATCTGGACAGCTGACAAAAGCTTTAAAGAAAAGCATTCTGGCCTCGAAGAGCATCTCCGAACTTGAGGACATAGTAAGTTTTTTTTAATGCTTTTATGCAATCCTAGTGATTCAACCATTTATTCTTGTATTATAAATCCTTCAGATGGTACAATTTAAAACTCGTGGAAAAGGGACACTAGCTGAAAGAGCGCGAAGTGTTGGTTTGGAAGAGCCAGCTTTGCAGCTGCTTCATGGAACTGCCCATGTTGATTTGAACTCTTTGGTTCAGCCAAATACTGATGGACTGAAAAATGTCAAAGAAGTTGAGCTTGGTCTGCAGCACATTATTGCAGAGGTAGTTAGCAAACACGAAAAGGTTGGTAAAAAAAATATGATTTGAAAAAGTCCATTTAGAATATTATATGCGGGTTTAATCAGATTTTAGAATTCTCAAGGAATGGATGCCAAGATGAATTGTACGTCAAGAGCAAAAAGATGAAAATCACAAAAAAGTCTTTGCTGGACGAAAAGAAGCATGAGAAGAATGTCCACAAGTTCAAAGAGTTCTTTGAATACAGTATCAATGTCAAGAACATACAGCCACACACAGTTAGGAATAATGTTGCAATATATTGAAAAGTTAATTGAGGAAACTTTCTAACAGACAATGGCTCTAAATCGTGGTGAGAACTTGAAGATACTTTCAGTTAAAATCGAAGCACGGCCGACTGTGGCAACATTTTTTAACGGACTCTGTCAAGGAGTATTTTTGAGCTCTGGCGTTTCAAGTGCAATGCGCTGGAATATTTGCAAAGCAGCATTTGAAGATGCATGGGATAGACTTGTTTTTCCCGCTATTGCTAGACAAGTATAGTCAATTTTTTTAAATTTGCTAAATTATCTATTTGTTGCTGATTTTCAGACTAGAGCCGAGTTAACAAAAATAGGGGAAAAGGAGAGCTTGGACGTGTTTGCTTCAAACCTCAAGCAAATACTACTGGCTCCTCCTCTAAAGGGTGCAACAGTAATGGGCATGGATCCTGGATTCTTGAACGGCTGTAAAGTTGCTATCGTCAGTCCCTCAGGAGAGGTGAAGCACGCAGATGTTATACATCCTCCCCTCAATGGTTGGCTTCAGAAATATACATATCATATTCAAATTTATTGTTCAATGATATTGCTTACAGGAAGAGATCCATTTGGACCAGCTGCTAAAAAAGTTTGTGACATGGTCAAGAAGTTTGGTGTAAAGGTTCTTGCTTTGGGTGACGGTACAGCAAGTGCAGAAACAAGTGCCTGGATAGGCAGTTTGATTGATGCCAAAGCGTTCCACCCAGTAGACGTTTCCTATACCGTGGTTAGCGAGAGAGGCGCCTCGGTCTACTCTTGCAGTCCTGTAGCCAAAGAGGAGTTTCCCAGCATGGACCCCAACAAAATAAGCGCAGTTTCCATTGCCAGACGCCTTCAGGAACCTCTAGCTGAGCTGGTCAAAGTAGAGCCTAAACACTTGGGGGTAAAGATTTTGAGTTTGCGATTTGTTAAAAAAAACTTTTAACGCCTAATTTCAGGTTGGTATGTACCAGCACGACCTGGCAGACTCAAAACTGAAGTTGACCTTGGACGAAGTAGTACAAGAGTGCGTCAGTTTTGTTGGAGTAGATGTGAACACTGCATCATTGTACTTACTGCAACGAGTGGCTGGTCTCAACGAAACCAAGGCCAAAAATCTTCTCCAGTGGCGAAATGAAAACGGACCCTTTACATCTCGTCAGCAACTTCTGAAGGTTAAGGGCATTGGTCCAAAGACCTTTGAGCAGTGTGCAGGATTCATCAGGGTCATTCCTTACAGCAGAGCAGGATCCTGGACTGAGAACAAAGTACTTAATCTAACTTTTTTAAATTTTGTTTTGTCACTATGATAGGCTTTTTTATAAGTCGCAGGCAACTTCGAAAACAAAAGTCAAATTAGAAAAGGGCAGCATGCCTAATCTATTGGATAGCACTAATGTCCATCCCGAGGCCTATTCGTCTGCCTTAGAGTTGATGAAACTGATCAGTGTTGAGCTTGAAGACCTTGGAAAGACTGAATTTATTACAAGCATAAATAACTTTCTTCGCAGGGAAGGTTAAATTTAAATTTTCCCCTTGTTTTAAGCTCATTATTGTGTCTTTTTTAAAGATGTGTCAAGCATAGCAAAGAAAATCAAAGTGGAGGATGAACAGGCTGTCTCGCAGCTGGCTGAAGCATTGACTCAGGGGCCAGCGTACGACATTCGAGTGAAGAATTCTGGGCCAGTTTTCCGAAGGGGCTGTACTAAAATTGAGGATGTCAAATGTGGAGAAAATTTTACAGGTGAATACTTCCAAGATCCTTTCCAATAAAAAATTAAATGTTTATTCTTATCCCTTCAATGAAACAACAGGCTCTGTGCAAAATGTCACAACATTCGGTGCTTTCATTGACATTGGTGTAGGGACAGCAGGACTGTTGCACATAAGCAAGATGAGAGGAACGGCTTTGCAAGTTGGGCAAAGAGTGGAGGTTAAAATAAGCACTCTGGATGTGCAAAGGAAGCGAATTGGGCTTGTTTTCCAGTAACAGAGTTATAATGACAACGATCATGTCGATCTATATAATTATATCATACTAATGAGACATTAAAATACAAAGTATGATATTTATTTTTGGAAAATAATTGTTAATTTTTATAATTGGGAATTTTTAAAATCACAAAGTCTTTTTCATTACGTTAGTACATATTCATCCGTAACTATTTTTCACAGATAAAAATATTGAAATCAAACTTATTATATTTCAAAATATCCCAAGCGAAATATTATATCAAGAAGTCGCAAGAAGTATATATAAAACATTTTATACTTCTTGATAGATACATGCGTACGTGTGAGCACCATTATCTAAATATTTACATGTACCTTAATATGATCAGTACTTGTAAATATTTAGATAATCGTATTACAGATGGAGAGATGAAGCACTAAAATGTAATTCTCATATGATTGTTAGTGTGCGTGTGTTTTTTCTGTTCAAATTAGTGTACAGTGTAGTGTTTTGTTAATGTAATATTAATTTATCTTGTAACTTTTGAAATAAAAATTTTTCCCGCTGCTTGAAATGGGGCCCGATCATTGGCCGTACCGGAATGGGTCCTCCTATCTTCTAAAACACATGTTTGGTATTGGTTACATAACAATTAATATATTTGGTGGTCACTCTTATTCTTCACCCTTTCAAGTTTCATGTTTAGAAGCGCAGTGCTCTTGAGTCTGGGCAGAATACTTTAAAAATACTGCGCGTCCTTTAGACAAGATATTAGCGCTAGATCTATCTTAATTCTTGACCCTTTGATGGACTTTTAAAAAACAGGTGAGATTTTAGCGCATTGCAAAACTAATTACTACATAAGAACGTTTTCCTCACGAGCGTATAAATAATGTAAAATGGTTCATTTAATATTATGTTGAGAGTGAGGCACTTTTGGTTAACCAGAGACCTTGCAGTGCAGCGTTGTCTTATCGGTTGCAGAAAGAGACCGGCAAACACAATGGCAAAGTTGCTCGAGGCCCTTCTAGAATTGCCGCATGTACGAATCAAGGACCCGGATTATATGTTAAGCGTCTTTGAAGAGATCATTGAGGGCAACTCAGAGAAGCTGCAGGTCATCTCCGACTTTGACCAGACCCTCACCAAGGACCACGAGAACGGCGAGCGCTGTCTCACCACCTTTGGTATCTTCCACTCAACGCCACAACTTCCCAAGGGCTACAATGCCAGGTCCGAGGCCCTATACCACAAGTACCATCCCTTCGAGGTGCACCCTGAGCTGACCGTAGAGCAAAAGACGCCTTACATGGAACAGTGGTACAAAGACTCGGAGCAGTTGCTTTTTGGCGCAGAAGTTTCCAAAGAAGAGTTGAAGGGCCACATTTACTCATCAAAGACTTGCTTCAGGGATGGCTCAGTTGAAATATTTAATGCCCTGAAGAAAGCTGAGGTTCCTGTGCTTGTGTTCTCGGCTGGAGTGGGTGATGTTGTGCACCATGCCCTGGAGAAGCACGAAATGCTGCTGGATAATGTACGCATCATCTCCAACTTCCTCAATTGGAATGACCAAGGCACACTTGAAGGCTTCCAGGTACTTTTATTGTTAATAAAAAATTTAATGCTGTAATTCAATTCTTCATCTTCTTATTTGATACAATGATTACAATTTATCTTTCATTACAGGGTGATATGATTCACGTTTTCAACAAGAACCAGCGAGCACTTGCAGCACATGAGGAGTACTTCTCCCTGTTGGCCCACCGACCCAATGTCATTCTGCTCGGGGACAATGAGGGTGATGCTGCTATGGGTCATGGTGTGCAAGACCCAAAGGCCATGATAAAGATAGGCTTCCTCTTCCACCATCCTGAGCAAAGATTAGAAAAATTCATGGATATGTTTGACATTGTGCTCATCGACGACCAGACCATGGATGTGCCTAAGAAAATCTTGCACCATATTCTCGGCGCACATCACTTTGACTAACAATAAATGCACAATTCCTTTCACAAATTCCAAAGGACTGCAGGCAGAGTTGTGAATGTTGATTTACCAAATTTCAAATTATAATTTTAATGCTCTAAGCTGTGACAGAGTTTAGCTGTGTCTCACTCACTCAAAGTATTTAAAAAATTGTAGATGACATGACAGTTTGGAAATAAATAAAATCGTCCTTAAGAATCCTGAATTTTATTAATTAAAAAATGATCTTTTTAAGAACAAATGAGATGAGATTTTACTTCTTAAACGTAAAAGTAATTTTTTAATATTGAAAGGCAGATTTAAGAAAAAATTTCCTGTTCATCTAATTGTGACATAATCAACCAGTTAAGTAATCAAGAACTAAATTTTGTTCCAGGCTCTAAAAATGCATAAGATTGTCAGATGTGGTTGTGCATTCCAAACACCAACCCAAAGCTACCTGAAATCAGTAGCCACCTCGCATCATGTTCATCAGAGACGTTACATCGAAAGCTCGTCGGCGGCCTCTCCTGGCTTTTTCCAGTCTATATCTGAGAGTAGTGCCGTTCTTCAAACACAAAATTTGCTAGAAAACATCCACGACCTGTCGGGTCTTCCCTGGTGGGCGACCATCTGCGTTTCAACTGTTCTCTTTCGGTCCGCGGTGACCCTTCCGCTGACTATTTACCAAAACAAAATCTTTGCCCGACTGGAAAATATTCGAGAAGAGCTAAATTCTCTTGTACCCGAGTTAAAAAAAGAAACTGCTATTGCAATAAAAAAGTTTGGTTGGACAGAGAAGGAGGCAAAAGAAGCCTTCTCCAGGTCGATGAAGAAACAGTACGACCTTCGAGTGATTCGTGAAAATTGCCACCCTATCAAATCAACTGTGGTAATCTGGGCACAACTGCCAATGTGGGTTTGCCTGTCGATGGCCTTCAGGAACATGGCGTCTGTACAAAGTGGAGACATTCAGGCCCAACTGACCTTCCTTGAATTCACCCTTGGAGGCACCCTCTGGTTCCCAAACCTGACACTGCCCGACGCCTCCTGGATCCTGCCTGTGACCTTGGGACTGGTAAATCTAGCCATTGTGGAAATCCAGGTGGCCAATCGAGCGGCCAAGGCAGCCGGTGCGCCCAACAAACTGCAAAGGTATGCGACAAACTTCTTCAGGGTTGTCAGTGTGATCATGGTGCCTGTGGCCGCCTCTGTGCCAAGCTGTATGAGCCTCTATTGGACTGCGTCCAGCACCTGCGGCCTTGCCCACAATATGCTTCTCTTTTCACCAAAGTTTCGAAGACTCGTGCGAATCCCGAAGTCTGCAAACGAACTTAAAAATCCCTATTCCAACTTAGTGAAGCATTTTCAGGAAAAATTAAGACTTTAATCATCGAGTGATTCTTAACAAAAAGTTTACCACTAGGATTTATTAATTATCAATAAACAAGTCAACAGCCAAGCCAAATTGCAATATTTCACTTCCTTCCACAACCTCCTCCCGGACACCCTTTTGTAGGTGGTCGGTAGCCTCTCGAGCTGCCACCTCCATCAAGCGGGTTGTAGTCTGAAAAATGATATTTCCTGATAAGTTTTTGGCAATAAAAACAAATAATGTAAATTATTTATATATTTTTATAAACAGATTTTAAAAAGATAAAGTAACAAAAAATAATACAATTTTACCTACCCTCTTTGAAAGCACGACCCTTCTTCATAATTTTTGCATTGGCCAAGGCCTCTGCATTGTCGCTGTCCAAACTGTTTCCCAGTCTGCGACCTGGCTGTTCTGCATTAAGGCGCTGCCGTTCCGCAGCCTTCTCTACTCTTTTTTGCTCTTCTATCTATAATAACAACAATGTCTCTCAGAAAAAGGAATTTAAAAGCAAGTTTCTAAAAGGATGAACTGTCAGAAAAGTGGAATTATCAACATAAAGGTTTGGACGAGGAAGCTCTATCAAAAAAACTAATTTTTCAAAATTAGGGTTGGAACGAGGAAGCTCAATTAGAAATTAAAGGTTCAGATGGAGATGGTCTCTAAGAAAAAGAGATTTCAAAATTCAGGCTCCGTTGAATCTCGTCTCCCAGAAATATTTGAAAGGAAAAAGCATACATATTATACCTCCTTGTCTATTTCCACCTGCAACGAGGAGGCCCTGGTAAGTTCCTCCTGCTGCTTTTTGCGTGCAGCCTCAATGGCCTCTTGCCTGGATTTTCCAATGTCCGGGTCTATATAAAAAAAGAATACAAGTTAACCAGATTGTACATGCAAAATTAGGTTTTACTCTTATGGTATCTGGCATCATATTCCCTTTCCTCCTTTTCTATCCTCCAGGTCTCATATTTATGCTTTAGCCATGTATGCCACGCAAACAGAGCAACAGCTCCTAGTAAGATGAAGTGCCAGCCATAGTTTACCAAAAGGGAAGTCACTGCGGAGAAGGAAAGTTTTAAACACTAACACTACGTGTATATTAACAACACATACATATTAATAATAACACATTTGATTATACTTTATGTTCTAGAGTTTTCGAACTCAGATAAAAACCATAAATACATACACATTTTATATATATATATATATATATATATATATATATATATATATATATATATATATATATATATATATATATATATATATATATATATATATATATATA